TGTTGTGACGAGTGGGGGCGGGGCCGAGAGCCGTGGGAACGGAGCGAGGCCGGTGGAGAAATTGATAATGAGCGACACCTGCACCACTCACCGGTCTCGTGTCTCATGGAGGAGTTCCGGAAGGATAAAAAGGAGGAGTGACGACAGTGAAAGACGAGAGAGGACCAGGTCTGGACTTTATTGTGTGTTTTGGTTTTGTTTGTGCACGACAGTCGTCTGCGAGGGGCTGTTGCGCTATGTTGTGTTTGTTTATTTTATTAAAGTTTCTTTGAATGTTCTTTACAGATCTTCTTTATGCACCAAGAGCTTGTAACACTCCAAAGAGAAAGGAAAAATTGAAAACGCATCATATGACCCCTTTAACAGTTCATCAGGCTCTTAATGATTTAATCTATGCCATCTTTTGGAATATCTGAAGGCCATGTACCATAGTTCTTAACAGTAGCATTTGTTATAATAAGACTAGCCTATTAATCATTACCAGGCCAATAATGACTTTTTAAAATTAATCAATATAGCATTTGTTATGAAGAAACAGCCGCCTGCACATTTAGAACCTACAGCTACAAAATGCCACAGTTGCAATAAAAATCTATAGAGAAAAATCTATTCCCTTAACAGATTATCTAATATAAATTCTACAAGAAGTTAGACTAAATTTTACACAATAAATAAGTTTTTATTTTAGTTTATTTAGTCTATTTATTTAGTCTTTTTTAGATACTGTTCAGCTTTCTCCATAGCGTTTTAAAGTGTCTGTTTCTCTAAATAACTCAAATAGATCACATATTTGACCATCAGCTTCGCGATAGGAATGGCTCGAACAAATCTTATCACTCTTCTCAGTACGGTGATCTGTGCACCGCTTATGAACTGCTCATTGTGCTGAGCTGCTCCGTTCGGTTCGGAAGTAAAATGAGCGCTTATAAAAGTGCTGAAGGCGCGATTCAACTAATAAATTAATAGCCTGATTCTAGGTTTCCATTAACCATGGTATAAATATTGGGGGTTGTACTTGCTAGTTTTGGTTATTGGGGGGGTTTTATCCCCCCATAAACTACGCTCCTGGTACAAACACACAGTTATTACTTCACAAGTCATTAACTGATGGACTGGAGTGCTGTGGATTACTTGTGGATTATTGTGATGTTTTTATCAGCTGTTTGGACTCTCGTTCTGACGGCACCCATTCACTGCAGAGTATCCACTGCTAAGCAAGTGACATAATGCTACATTTCTCCAAATCTGTTCTGAGGGAGGAACAAACTCATCTACTTCTTGGATGAGCTGAAGGTGAGGGTACATTTTCAGCAAATTTTAATTTTTGGGTGAACTATCCCTTAAATGTTAAAGTTCAGGATGCTTCTCACCTGTCTTGTCTTCCCACCTTTGGTTGGTGCCGTCTGTATGGCCTTCATGATCTCAACAGGCCACAATCTACATTCTGCAATCCTGCGGGAAAGACTGAGAAAAATAGGAAGCCGTGATTGGAGTACATGAATTTCAGGACACAGGAGTGAGTGCATTGATTAAAAGTGTTGTTTGCTCACCAGGCCACACCTCCCGCATCAATAAAGCAACGATGTGCCGTATCCCAGCTCACTCTTTTCTGGTTACACTCAGCATCTGCTCTGAAATCCTTGTCCTATAACACACAAACAGATCAATGTGGTGACATATTCCTTCCACATCCATCACTGAATTGTCCATTAATGGCTCAAGTCACCTCTATGTCAGTAAGGTCTCCGTGATCCGTGTCTGTGGGTTCTGCATCAATATAAAGGCCCTGAATGACCTCGGCCCCTGGTGCGAGAAGAGACCCCAATGGCCATTTTTTGGGTCTTGGCACTGGCTCCTTCTCACCACCCATTTTTAAGACGCCATTGGAGAATAACAAGACTTGCTCTTTCTGTAAAACAATGAATAAACAATGTAAGACTTTTTCTTTTTAGGCAAATTATTATTTTAGACATAAAAATATTTTGCATATATCTGAACATCTGTTATTTTAAAGCAACAAATTTAACACTTTCAATTTTAAAATTTCATTTTTTTACTCTTTTTGGCACTTGCTATATGAACAACTTAAGCAATGTATTAACTGGAAAAATTATGAATAGTATTTTAATTATTTTTAGTGCTATCAAGCGATTAATCGCATCCAAAATACAAGTTTTTGTTTACATAATATATGTGTGTGTGTACTGTTTATTTATTTATGTATATATAAATACATACACATACAGTATATATTTGGAATATATTTATATTCATATAATTTATATTATATATAAATATATTTCATACATATAACATATTTTTCTTAAATATATACATGCATGTGTGTGTATTTATATATACATAATAAATATATACAGTACACACATACACATATATACAGCATTATGTAAACAAAAACTTTTATTTTGGATGCGATTAATTGCAATTAATCATTTTATAGCACTAATTGAAACACAATCAGTCAACAGTTTGGAATCATTTAGATTTTTTTATGTTTTTGAAAAAAAAAAAAATTCTCAGATTGCATTTATTTGATCAAAAATACAATAAAAAACCAACACTTGTCTCTTACCGTAGCTGAGACGGGCATCTGCAGGGCAGCTATATAGTGGGATGGAGGTGTGGAGGCAGGATTCCAGACGTCGGGAACAGAATACGCCGTCTCCACAGTGACCATCAGCACATTAGAGTCAGAGCGCTGGGCATCAGAGAGCAACGGCTCGGGAACATGCACCGTCACATCGAGTGTGGACTGTGCATGGAAATACAAACAAAATATACAACGTTACCTCATACAAATATTTTTATATAGTACTTATGTAGTGGTGTAAAAATGTGGTTATGAACATTGTCTTTACTTTTACGCCATCCTCATGTACAGCAACGTCTGCCGGTGATCCGGGCACCGCGTGAAGAAGCACGGTGGATGAGAAGCTACACTGACCTAGAACAAAGATATCACCGATATCAAACCTCACGAATATGAGAATCCATAAAAAGTGCTTTCAAATGTGTAAAGTTTGAATCAAATGAGTAAAATGACATTTTTAACCTCGCAGCAGTGGCAGTAGATCCACGACGGCTTGTCCTAGTACAGTGGTTTTCTCCTCTTTTTGTTTTTTCTCTTTTGGTAAGATCTCGAACACCGTTACTGAGAATACACATTTCTGTTTACATTTAACCATGACCAATTTAACATTTAAAATCAAGTCAACTATACTGTATGTATATATGGATTGATGGAATATTTACCATTTAATTTGTAGCTAAATTTACACACACAAAATGTTTTCTTATTTTTGTATTTTGGATGTATTTTCCATTACAAATATCAAAAAATTCTTAATCCAGGATGCATTTGCTTAAAGGTCCCCTGAAGTGCCTTGAAACACGCAGTTTTCTCCTCTTTTTGTTTTTTCTCTTTTGGTAAGATCTCGAACACCGTTACTGAGAATACACATTTCTGTTTACATTTAACCATGACCAATTTAACATTTAAAATCAAGTCAACTATACTGTATGTATATATGAATTGATGGAATATTTACCATTTAATTTGTAGCTAAATTTACACACACAAAATGTTTTCTTATTCTTGTATTTTGGATGTATTTTCCATTACAAATATCTAAAAATTCTTAATCCAGGATGCATTTGCTTAAAGGTCCCCTGAAGTGCCTTGAAACACGCAGTATTATTCTATGTGGTGACGTAATTTCAACTGAAACAGGAAGACCGGGCGGGACATATCGAGCGAGCCGTTTTGGCGGAAGTGACGAACTAAAAGCTTTGAATGCTTACATCTTCTAAATGCTAATTTTGGAGCGCAATGCCTTATAAACCAATTATCGGTTTGTAAACATTCAGGATGCGCGCGCATCATGGTTGCAGAAAACCCGGGAGAGATAGCCTTTACGGCTAGAGAATTTCACGGATTAGATTACCCCCTAGAATTAATATGAAACTCTTAATAAAACAAAATAGTGATCATAATCATGCTGAGGCTGTGTAGTTTTAAAAGTGTTTAATATATGCCGACTCGCGCATATGATCCGCTCCACGCTGCCGTGGTTCGCGTGAAACAACGTGAAACCAGACCTCATTTGCCCCAATTGAAAGCATATTTACACTGTTTAAATCGTTCCCTATCGCCTACATTGTACACTACGTGGTGCCATTCACTGTACAGGAAATACTACACTGTGAACAAGCAACCGATCTCAGCCGCAGCTTCAGCGTCTATTTATAGCTATTTATAGTGTCTATTTATAGTGTAGCTTCTATATAGCGTCGGCTTCTAGAGAGCGTTTGATTGGTCAGAAGATTTGATGAGAAGATGAAGTACGATGTGACGTCAAAAAAATCGTTGCCAATTGACCTAATAAGTTGCAAATTGGTCCTCCAGCTGTTCCTTATATGTACATTTAACTTTTCCGGCCTCTTATTTGCTACCTGTCCCAACTTTTTTGGAATGTGTAGCTCTCATGAAATCCAAAATGAGCCAATATTTGGCATGACATTTCAAAATGTCTCACTTTCAACATTTGATATGTTATCTATATTCTATTGTGAATAAAATATAAGATTATGAGATTTGTAAATTATTCCATTCCTTTTTTACTCACAATTTGTACAGTGTCCCAACTTTTTTGGAATTGGGTTTGTAATATTTCTAATAGTAAGGTTTAAATAATATTTCATGCTGTAACTGCAGGGCTAATACAATACGTCCCCTACGAACAGCATATGTGAATATTATGTAGACCTCTTGTTTAAATCAAATTTATGCTTTAAAAGTAGAGTAATCATAACAGTTTTCATCCATAGTATGTCCATTTAAACGTCTGCGTTTAGCTTCAAATGGCGTCTTTGACGACAGTAATCTATAAAAATGATTTGCATTCCGATCTTGACATCAAAAGGCACAAAAATATTTTTTTCTTTTATTCCATGGATTTTATGTTGTGTGTTTTTCTGCAACCACTATGCGCACGCAGCTGCAAGTGACGTAACTGTGACGTCTACTCTGAATTGGTCTATAGAAAACCTTAAGACTAACATATTGATACTAACACCCAAAAAACTTTAATTTTGATTTCATGGGGACTTTTAGAAGCAAAAAGACTTTTAAGAAAAATCGCTTAAAAAGTCTTCAAAAAAATGATCAAAAGTTAGTTTACTGTATGTTTAAAACAAGAAAAGAAACACACACACTTAATTTTGATATTTTCTTTTAAGAAACGAGAAGTAATTTTGCCCCTCAAGTAAATGTAGCTTGGTTTAAGAATTTTTAGATATTTGTACCAGAAAACGAGACAAAAATACTCACGTATGACAGGTTTATGAGCTACATCATCCAGTGTATGTGCCACTTCTGAGCACTCAAAACTACAGGTGAAGTTGTAAACCACATCTTTGTCCACAGGAACGTCCAGTTTTTGTGAGTCTCCCAGCACACACCCATTAAACTCCACCCGAACAAAACTGAGACAGGAATCAGTCCTACTGCCCCTCTGAAATAATCACAAATGGCACAAACACACAACAGCAAAGATTTTATTATAGTACTAGTGCGAAAATGCCACACTACTACAGCTATTCTTACTACTGTAACATCATAATAATACATTAATATTCACATTCAAACTTTTAGGCTTTTAGAATCTCTCTATTGTTAAGTATATTTATACATATACTTTTGTAAAGTCAGTGGTGGCTAAAGCCAAGTTTGTTTTATTAATTAATATTACCACAGTTTTATTGTAGCAACAGTTGTAGTGGAGACCGGGGCAAGTTGTCACACTGTTCACTTCAGTGAATATTATTTGTCACAGTTGGATTATTTTTGAAAGTCAGTTTCTTGTCAAATTCAAGACAGTTTTTAATTTAGTGTTTTAAACCATATAGCTAGAGACGGCAAGAATTTAAAGGGGTCATATGATGCTGCTGAAAAGAACATTATTTTGTGTATTTGGTGTAATGAAATGTTTATGTGGTTTAAAGTAAAAAAAAACACATTATTTTCCACATACTGTACATTATTGTTTCTCCTCTATGCCCCGCCTTTCTGAAACGCGTCGATTTTTACAAAGCTCATCAGTCTGAAAAGCGAGGTGTGCTCTGATTGGCACAACAGTTTCAACATTGATAATAGATCAGATTTCTGGAGGATCATGTGACACTTTAAACTGGAGTAATGATGATGAAAATTCAGCTTTGCGTCACAGGAATAAATCATATTTTAAAGTATATTAAAACAGAAAACCAATATTACAAATTGAAATAATATTTCACAATATTACTGTTTTTTCTGTATTTTTGATCAAGAGAAATACAGCCTTGATGAGCATAAGAGACTCTATTAAAAAAACGTTAAAAATCTTACGCATCCCAAACTTTTGATCGGCAGTGTATATGTGACCGTTTAAATGAATTACCATAAAAGCTAAAAGGTGATTAATACGGTGGGGAAAAACAGATATAGGCCTAGCATCTATAATTCCAAACATTCATAAACATATCTACCTAAAATCTTGCTTATTGTGTATTTTTCCCCAGATATTGAGCATGTCTCTTCTTCATGCTGTTGATGAAGCCGTCAAGATGTGCAAAGCTGAAGAATCAAGACTCACTGAAAACATCCGACAGTGCAAGGAGATTTTACGCTCAATGTGCGGTGATCTAAGTGGTTATCTTGTTGGTATAATGTTCATGTGTTGTAAAAAGCTTCATTTATGCCATATTTTTGCAGGAGAACGCGTGTGACAGAAACCAGTGAGCTGGAAACTGCAGCAGCCATCGGTACTAAAGATGGTTAGAGGAAAATCATGTATTTACATTTATTCGTCATATCATCCCACATCATAAATTACACAATCAATCTTTGTTTCTGCCTTCTAAAGCAGATATTCTGCCTGAAGAAAAACAAGACATTGAATTGTTGGAGCAGGTTTTAAAAAAAGCCCTGAAAATCCGCAGCACATCTGAGGCTCATAAAGATCTTCACCCAGACAGTAAACACCCTAATGAGAGAAAAAATACAGCACTCATTAATTATACTGTTAAAGAGGGAGATAAAAGAAAGCTGGTGGAATCTGTCCCTCTGTCTGAGATGTGCAAAAAACCCATTCATCAGAGACGGGTCGGAGGGAATCTGACCCATGGGGCCCCCTGGACGCGGCCGGTTCTGGTCCGGAAGAGACCGACTGCTCATCAGGTGGTCAGTGGAAGCCCGTCAGTCCCAAAGAGCGCTTCAGCAAAGATCTCTTCCACACGATCCCAGCAGAAGATGTGTGTCAAAGCCACGAACGCTGAAGAGTCATCTGAAGATAATTCCCCATCAGTCTCCTGCCAAGAAGTCTCAGCATCTGGTAAAGATGGGAAAGTCACAACAGGAAGTGTGCAGTCTAAGGAGCAATGGTATGTGTATGATCAGATAGTCATCTTTGTTGTGTGCAAATATGAAATTGATCTTTAATCAAATACGTACACTATATTTTCAAGAGATATTAATGCTTTTATTCACCAAGAATGCATTAAAGGGCTAGTTCACCCAAAAATGAAAATTCTGTCGTTAATTACTCACCCTCGTGTTGTTCCAAACCCGTAAGACCTTCGTTCATCTTCGGAACACAAATTAAGATATGTTTGATGAAATCTGAGAGCTCTCTGACCCTCCCATAGACAGCAAGGTAACTACCACGGTGCTGACGGTGATACCGGTGTTAAGCCGCAACACCGGTTACGTCACTTGCCCATCGCGGCACCGACCCCCACCGTCGTTTTGATTTTTTATAGAAATAAAAATTAATTTAGTTCAGTAAAAGAACAGACACTACAATTAAAAACTGAAGGTGAGACAGACGAGACGATCGCGGATGATTTAGTTTCAAAACGAGATGCAAAAGCGCCTGTTTGGCAATATTTTGTATTTTGAAAAGCCTGTTGACTTTTGCCGTTTTTTCTGATTTTGGAAGTTTTTTTAAACATTCGTTTCTTATTTAATTGGTTCCACATTATTTGCTGATTTTTACTTTATTTAAACTTTGTGTCATTTATTTATTTTATTTGACATCAAGGTGTATGCCGTGCCTCCAAGCTTTCTTACTCGTTTTGCTAATAAACGTTCTACGTTTCTTATTTATTTGGTTATATATTATACTTATGTTTACTTAGTCTATTTCTATTTTCTGTTTTGTATACCTATTTAAACTTTATGTAAGTTATTTGTTATATTATAGGCATAGCCTGCCCTATAGCATGGTGTATTTGTATTTGTTTTGTTAATAAAAGTTATATGTTTTATATATATACGCTAAAGTGAGTTTGACATTGTATTTTGTTGTTGCATTCAAGCAATTGACGCCGAACAGCCGCTAATTCAAAAGTGAAAGTAAAATGCGCACAGCGCTTTTAAGCTATTTAAAAGCGAGGAAAAGATGGAAAATTCAAACGAACTAAAACCGAACAATTGCTTTACGCCGAATTGCCGCTATTTCAAAGTGAAAGTAAAATGCGCATGCCGCATTTACAAGCTAGTTAAAAGCGAAAGAAAGCGAGGAAAAGAGGGAACGCCCCGCCCCCGCTGTGATACCGGCATTACCGGTGTTGTCACACTTCGATTAACCAGTGGGAAAATTCCCTCACCGTCACAACCCTACAAAGTAGTCCGTGTGACATCAGTGGTTCAACTGTAATGTTACGAAGCTACGAGAATACTTTTTTTGCGCAAAGAAAACAAAAATAACTTTATTCCACATTTTTGTCTCTACTGCGTCACTTGTGTCCACACGTTCACGACAGTACCATCTTTGTACTTTCCTGGACACTTTTCTGGTAGTTACCTTGCTGTCTATGGGAGGCTCAGAGCCCTCATATTTCATCAGAAATATCTTAATTTGTGTTCCGAAGATGAACGAAGGTCTTACGGGTTTGAAACGACACGAGGGGGAGCAATTAATGACAGAATTTTCATTTTTGGGTGAACTAACCCTTTAAATTGATCAAAAGTGACAGTAAAGACATTTATAATGTTATATAAGATTGATATTTGAAATAAATGTTGTTCATTTGAACTTTCTATTCATCAAAGAATCCTAAAAAAAAAGTCAAGCAGAACAACTGTTTACAGCATTGATAATAATCAGAAATGTTTCTTCAGCAGCAAATCAGCATATTAGAATGATTTCTGAAGGATCATGTGACACTGAAGACTGCAGTAATGATGCTGAAAATTCAGCTTTGATCACAGCTGTAAATTACATTTTAACATATAATTAAATGGAGAAGTTATTTTAAATTGTAATAAAATTTTGCAATAATAGTGTTTTCACAACATTTTTGATCAAATAAAATACATTTAAAAATGTTTTTAAAAATCTACCATCCACAAATTTTTGAATGGTATGGTATATTAAATATTTTCAAATGTAGCTTTTATGGCTTTTCTTTGTTGTCGTTGTTGTTGTTGTAGGATACCATCTCCTTTGTTACCATCTTGGCGTGCACAGAGAACAAAACAGAAGCGGTCAGTCTAAAATTGTCTTTAAAAATTAAAGAAATATTGTAGGTTCACTACAAGCTGAGCACTTTCAGTAGCGTTTGAGGCATAACATTAATTAGTAAATAATTTATACTTTAAAATCATGTCACAATAAGGCACTTACAATGGATGTAAATGAAACGACGCAAACCTTAAAATACTGTTTTGAAATTAAAGTCACAGGACATAGATTTTAACATAAAACTAGTGTAATATAAATCACTTGCTCACCTCGTCTGTGAAACATCAATATTTTTAGTCTTGTTATGAAGATGTAAAGCAGATCAATCTTTTTTTTTGTTACACAATACACACAAGAAGTAGTATTTTTAAACGGAGAAAAATCTATACATAAAATGATGTCAGCGACTTATAAGTAGAGGTTTAACTACCTAGAAGAGTAGTTATAGTGCCAAGTTATGAATCAGAAAGCATCGTAACTCAAATAACACATATTTGTAAGGAAGACTTCATGTAAATGCCTTGCTCCATTGACTTCAGTTGAACCTTCATTAACATGATTTTCACTTTAAACAGATGTTGATAGAGCTTTACTAGCATTAAACACAAAATATGTCTTAGAGTGAAAAATTTAAGGGGGTCTGAATACTTTCCGTACCCACTGTATGTAGAACAAAGAATTACACTAATTGTTGTGAGAAAAATATGCATTTTTCTTTCAGATTGTGGAAGAAAGTGTTAACCCAGCAATCAAAGCCAGTACCAGAGAGAACCAAATTCACAGAGAGACTGCGAGACACTGTATCCTTTTCAGATCAATCCTGTTGCTTCTGTCCTGTTGCGTTTGATCGGTATCACCTCAGACACGATCAGTGTATCCGTGCAATCATCATTACTCCTATTGATGTGGCCCCTCAGGCCATCCAAGATGATAAGTAGATGAGTTTGTTTCTTCCTCACAACAGATTTGGAAAAATGTAGCATTTCATCCCTTGCTAGCCAATGGATGCTCTGCAGTGAATGGGTGCCGTCAGAATGAGAGTCCAAACAGCTGATAAAAACATCACAATAATCCACAAGTAATCCACACCACTCCAGTCCATCAATTTCTTTTTGAAGCGAAAAAAAAGTGTGTTTGTAAAAAACAAATTCTTTCAAACATGCAGCTTTTCTCTTCAAATTATATTAACTGATGGACTGGAGTGGTGTGGATTATTGTGATGTTTTTATCAGCTGTTTGGACTCTCATTCTGACGGCACCCATTCACCGCAGAGGATCCATTAATGAGCAAGTGATGTAACGCTACATTTCTCCAAATCTGTTCTGAGGAAGAAGCAAACTTATCTACATCTTAGATTGCTTGAGGGTGAGTAAATTTCCATTTCTGGATGGACTGTTCCTTTAAACATGACATCTGACTAAAATCTTGTAGTTTTTTTGTTGTTGTATGTTCCTGAGCTGCTGTTGTATCAGTTCCCGTCCGAATTGCCTTCTGTATGTCCTGCTGATATCACAACAGAGCTGGACGTGCTTACACAGCGCTGTCTTGACCTGACGCACTGCTTCAATGCTGAGCTACAGGCCCAGAAGGACTCAGATTCAGGTACCCGCGTCTGGGGCAGAAAGATGGAGGGCTGCAGGAAGACAGAAGTGTGTGGGTGGATGTAGGGGGCTGAGAAACGAGCAACTGGACAATAAGGATCCTTCCAAGGATAACACTGTCAACACTAGCCATTATTCATCTGAGTCACAGGACGTTTCAGTATCAGGAAGCTCATTTAGAGTAGATAGAGACCAAGATATATGTGTGTGTGTGTGTATCACAGGGACCTTGCGTGAGAGAGAATATGAGTCCTTGCGGATGCTGGAGGGTTTGGAGAGGATGACGGCAGAACTTATTGCGTGTGCTGATCATCGCAAGAAAGGTACTTTAGAATCTCCAGCTGCACAAACGTCATTTGACGTCATTTTCATGTCAGGGCTCCTTGCTTGTGATGGTATTCATTTGCTTAATGAATATTGCAAATGTACAAAACTATTAAAACCTTTTCAGTGTGTAAAAAATAGATTTATTAAACACACATTGACCTTTTGTGACAACATGCCTCAATAGAAGATTATGTAATCAGGTAAGTTGTCACTGTTATAGGTTAGCTTCTCAGCTCTATTTACATGTGAAACAATTATAAAGCACAAAACAAAAATTAAATATTATGAAATGTTTAACCATTTTTTACCAGCAGAAACTGTAATTAATACATTTTTAATTTATAGAATGTAATTTTATTTATTTATTATTATTTTTGATAAATATAAAGCTTATATAATAAATTATAATATTAATACAAATTAATAAATTCATGATATTTTACATTTTATTATTAAAGTACAATTTTATTTAACACCTGTATCAGCTTGTCCCAACCTGACGTTTATGAAAAATCCTTTTGTCACAATTAACACAATTAAACCTTTCAGTTCAAATCTGCCTTTATTATATAATGGATTCTTGTCTGAGCCAACAGATAATTGCAGTTTTACTTCATGACAAACTGAATGTTTTAATTTAAGAACACCAACATACAAAACCATTTTTTGTGACAACTAGCCCCGGTCTAGTTTATTCTGTATGTTCACCTGGTATTTGTAGTGATCACAAGCTTGCTGTGTTTTCTGAGTTCAGTCTACTGCAATGACACACATCACACCCTTCATCTTCAGGCTATTTTGGGTCTAATGTGGTGTCAGTAGCCTGTAATCTGTTCACACTCCATTAAACACGGCCAGTTGTGTCCGCTCTGTGCTCAGTAGCACAAATTCATTCACGATTTCTACAAGTGGACACACCGTCCATTTATCCAAGAAGACAAAATTCCCATCCCTTTCTCAATGTCGTTAACGGTTATATTTTTCAATATACGACAGTTCCCATGTTCATGCTTCTTGGGAAAGCAATTAATGTACCTTAGATGCTTGCTGATTTTCCATGTTATGCCTTATTCTTGGCATTTGGTATTATTAAAGTATTATTAAGAAGATTATTTATAATGCATAATGCATAAATATTCTAAAATATATTCTATAATATATTCAAATCTTATTACAGATTTTGCAGTTTAGTTGTGAATTTGGTACACTGCGCTGTTCATACAGCTTGATCCGGATCATACGGGTTGATAAACCGGATGTAGTTCTAATACAAAACTGCCCTGTGTTTCTCAGACTGGGAGAGGTGGGATATGAGGATCTCTGGAGCTTTGTGTCCCGTCCGGAGGACAGGTGAATGGGGCGACCCGGCCCGTTCCTGGCTGCCGCCCGTCCTGTCGTACAGCAATGAGGCTGAACTGAGAGAGCTGGAAAGCCAAAGGCTCAGAGTAGAACAACTTCAGCAGGCTGTTCGTCTTCAGCAGGTTTAAAATACTTTGTCTTTCTTTCTTATATTTAGGAAGTAGCTTTTTCTTGTTTTATTTTCATCAGCTTCTGTTATAAACCGAGCTGAGCTGAGTGAGCTGACTAGCTAGATAGCAGTCATAAAGTTATTCTGCTGTAAGATACCTTATTTTGGATGGAATTTAAGGCAGCATTGCATTTATCCGTCATTCGTAAGTCCCACAATACATTGCATGGATCCTCAACTTGCTGTCTTATTCAATACTAAAAATGGTTAGAATTAAAGTTGCGATGAAATATAAATAGTAGGGCTGCAAAACGATTAATCGCAATTAATCGCATTCGAAATAAGTTTATTTACAAACTATGTGTGTGTGTACTGTGTATATTTATTATGTATATATAAATACACACACACACACACGTATATATTTTTAAAAATATTAGTATGTAAATATATTTATACTTGTATATAATTTATATGATATAAATCTAACATATTTTTCCTTAATATATACATGTATGTGTGTGTATTTATATATACATAATATATATACACACACACACACGTATATATTTTTAAAAATATATACGTGTGTGTGTGTGTATTTATATATACATAATAAATATACACCGTACACACACATATAGTTTGTAAACACAAACTTTTATTTAAAATGGGATTATTCGCGATTAGCCATTTTGCAGCCCTAATAAATAGAGATAAATCCATTTCTGTTGTTATAGTTTTAGCAATGTAAGCAGTTTTTTCAACATTGATGATAATAATAAAAAATATATATTTCTTGAGCATCAAAGCAGCATATTAGAATGATTTCTGGAGGATCATGTGACACTGAAGACTGGAGTAATGATGCTGAAAATACAGCTTTACATCACAGGAATAAATTACATTTTAACATATATGCAAACAGAAAACAGTTATTTGAAATTGTAATAATATTTCACAATATTATTGTTTTTAATGTATTTTTGATCAAAGAAATCTTCTTAATTATCTTAATTATAATTATATATATATATATATATGTGTGTGTGTGTGTATATATGTGTATATATGTACAGTATATGTGTGTGTGTGTATACATATATATATATATATTTATGTATTTATTATTTTTAATTTTTACTTCAGTTTTAGTTTTAATAGTTTTAGTGCATCACGTTTTTAATGTTTTTAAAGTAAATTAAATTGAGAAATGTTACCTAAGCTGCTTGTAGAAATAAAATAAAAAAATGTTGTTATGTATTTTACTTTATTTCAGTCCATGTTTATTTTCTTTCATGTAATGGTTTATGGTTTCAGTTTCATTCTTAGTTTAATAACCTTGTGGCATGCACTGTATGCTATCTAGGTAGACAGCAGAGCAGTAATCAAATGTTGCCGTGTTTTCTGTTTTTAGGCGATGTCCGATAGCCTTGCGTCTTACTGGAGCTCTCGTCCCGGAGCCGCTGGACCCAGTGCTGTGGTTCTGCGGGGCTTGTACTCGCTGCTGGCGGAGGGAGGAGTTCAGTTTCCATCTCTGGTTTTGGATTCGGAGTCAGACTGAGCAAAAACAAGACTGTATTTCAGGGTTAGTGGACTGAATTCCCGGAAGCACGGCAGGGAAGTTTTCCTGCGAACTGACGCAAAAGCCGCTCTCCAGAGCTCTTCTCCTGAGATAAACTGTAAGCGTGTTCTGTGTGTGCATTTGGCTCGGAAGTTTAACAATCGGTCACGTGACGGGAGAGTGCAGCTGCTGCTAAGAAACTCAAATAAAGCTTCCAGCTGACGTCTCATGATCCATGAGTCAGGATTTCATTTTGTGCCATCCCGCATATATTATTTGGCTCTCTGATGAGATCTTCCTGTTTGAATTCATTACTCAATGCGCCAAACCACTGGCATCTTTTGAATATGAGTAGCATGTGTCTAGGGATATGCTGGTATCAACTTTTCATGTTGCAATTAATTGCTAATGCTTTTATCACGGTGTACGGTATTATCACGATATTGAAATTTAGTTTTAAAAAAAAGTGCTGTCATAATACAGTATAACAGGTTTAATAACTTTTTTCTTATAACAAAAATAACTGAACATTTAAATGCAATAAAGCAATACAGAAAAATGTATAAAGCTAAAAATGTTACACAGATTAAAGTGCAAAAGAACTATAAAGACCAATAGGTATCACTTTACAATAAGACCTCATTAGTTAACCTTAGTTAAAGCATTAACATTCACAATGAGCAATAGCTACATTTGCTACAGAAGTTATTAATCTTTGTTAAAAAATATACAAGTCTTAGTTCATGTTAGCTCATTAAATAATACAGTTGCAAGTTTTGATTTTAACAACCTGTTATTAAATATTGGAATACCTAAGATTAATGAATGTTCAGAAGAATTTTTCATTGGCAGTTTGTTAACTAATGAATTAACTAATGAAGCCCTAATGTAAAGTGTGACCGAACAATAAAGAATCAAAACACTTTCAAACAATATCTAGGGCATGTTGTAGTCCAGATTAAAATGTAAAAAAAGTTTGAAAATAAATAGCCTATTAGGTCTAAATATTTAAGTATCTGTGATGAACATCATAGCAAATACACAAATCTGAATGGCTGCTTAAATAATTTAAACAGGATTCAGAAACAGAAAGTAACGGGGTAACGGCTGCATTTCTGCCGTTTAGCGCCATCTGCTGTCAGAGAGTGAAAGTGCGCTTTCATCCAGAGTGTTCCGCCATGCGCTTCTCGTCCGTGCTTGTTTACATCAGAGTGTGCAAGCGTCTTTCACTCAGCATACAGCACTGTTGTGCATTTTGACCAGTTGATGGGAAAAGTATTCTTAAAATGCATTCAAAATTCTGAATAATTTGTAATATATAATTATTCACGGTATTTAGAAGAGCCCACGATAACAATATCGTGCATATTCATTACCGTGATATATCGCATTACCGAATACCGGCACATGTCTGCATGTGTCCTGTTGAAGCCTGCGGTGCTGTGTTTGTGCCAGCAGAGGGTAATGTGTTCTTGATGCTGTCCTGAATGTCTTTCAGAGCCGCTATTGACAGCATGTGTGGCATGACGTCTGTTAGGACAGAAAGTCATTTAGACTCATCCTTCAGTTTATGAAAACAAACAAAAGTTGTGTTTACACCAATGCAATTACTTATAATGAACGTCTAAACACTCTGGAGCCACGTCGTACGTATACAAATGTGTGTTATTCGAGCTAAGTGTCTAAATCATGCTTTTAGTGGTGAATCTAGAGTTGTAGGTGTTACTGACGCAGTTCCTGTGTTTGGATTTGCGTCTATGCAAACTGTCTAGTTTGGTAACCTTGTACACCGTAAGATTTTGGAGGCCAAAACTCTGTTTTATGTGGATTGTTGCATTGAAAATTTTCTGCTGGTTCAAGTACAGATTTAGTCAGCATAGTGCCATATTTCATTTTTGACAGGAATGTAAATGAGGCCGTGAGGGATAAAAGTACAGTGTGTTCAGTGGATTGTACTGTTGTTTAACAACATAACGATTGTTCAATTGATAGTCTTTCCTAAAAAAAAAACAAAAAAAACCAGTAGACAAAAACTCCATAAAACAGTTTTGAAAGTTGTGGGTTGTGAATATTATGTGAAGACTGCAAGTCTATCTCACACAGACTCATTTTCATCTGCTTTAAATTGAATATGGCATCTAACCTGACTAAGGTCTGTATTAAAAGACATTCAGGCCATGTCCACACGTAAACGGGTATTTTTATAAACTGAGATTTTTCTTCTTCCGTTTAAAAAAAAAAAATCTCCGTCCACATGAAAACACAAAAGCATGCTATGAAGCACTGTCAAGAGCATGCCAAACCAACAGGTGGCGATATAATCTCAACCGTAAAGCCATGTTGGCCAATCAGAAGCCTGAAAAAGTTTCCAGTAGCAATTTTGTTGCTAAATTTAGCAACTTTTCAGACTACCCTAGCAACGTTTTCTTCCAGAAGCACCTAGCAACAAATTTAGCTATTTTTTTAATTAATTTGGCAACTTTTAGCAACTTTTGATAAGTGACTCAAATGATAAAAAGGCACACATTTACCTTCTAAATTACACAAAAAGAGAAATCCAAAGATGCCTAGCAGTACACGCCTCACGTGGATTAAGTTAGCTTCTATTTTCAATTGTTCAATTTAATAATAATAATTAAATAATTTAGTAATTGAATAATTGTTCATGTTACACTTTGTTAGTAGCTTGTACTTGCGGTTGTTGATCATTTAGTAAGAAAAATATCTACGAAAATGGAAAAGGTACTAGTAATTTTCCAGGGCATAACCTGAAAACAAAAATTACAATGTGTAATTAAAAATGCAGGTAAAAAACCAGTGGAAAAATCAATACGGAAAATTCCTTCATAACAACATATATTTTCTTAGAGTGTAATATACTAACTAACTACTAATACACCACTTAAAGATATAATTGTTCAGAATGTGTAGTTTTGGTTATTTACTAACAAAAAAAAAGAAGTAAATTGCAATTGTTCAAAAATGTCAAAGTTTTCAATAATTCAATTGAATAAAAATGGTTATTTACATTTTTAATATTATGCATTTATGTTATTTTACGAACAAATCTAAATGAACACATATAAAATATATTTTTTGCTGAGATTTGATGTAGCGACACAATTTTGCGTTGTGATTACGTAATCGCCCAGTGACATCATTTAGCAACTTTTGCGTTTGCGTGTGGACGAGCGGCCAAACCGCGTAGAAAAAGCGGCGGTTTTAAAAAATAAACGTGTTCGCGTGGACAGGGCCTTTTTAAATGCAGCAAGTAAACATACAATTTTGAGTTTGGACCTCCAAAGTCTAGTTAAGTCGAGCAAGTACTAATGTTTTGGAAGACTAAAAGATTTAATAATGAAATTAATGAAATTGAATCACTTGTGCTGCTTTCCATCCAAATCCATCTCATCTGACTTTAAGAGTTGCTCCATTGCACTTTTTTCCCCAAGTAGGAAATTCAAACTTTCCTCATTGAATGTAACGATCAAATCTGATCTTTAGGACTGACTGAACAGGAATGAAACTGTTACCTCAGACAGCTTGTAGTCAATATCTGGTGTCTGAGTGACTATGAGAGTATAGCTGTCATTGTGGAAAGACAAATTTTCCTCTTGATCGCGTCCATCGTGACATCTCGCAGCGGTGCTGTTATATGATGTGACTGAAATAGTTCCGTCATTCACCATTCAGAACATAATCAATCCCATTACTGCTACTTGTGTATAATGTTAGAAAGTCAAACGACAAGAACAACTACTTGAAATCTGATCTGACCAGTCAGACTGAAACATGTTTCTAAAAGTGATGAAGTGAAGTGGCCAAGTATGGTGACCCATACTCGGAATTAGTGCTCTGCATTTACTCATCCAAAGTGCACACACACAGCAGTGAACACACACAAACCGTGAACACACACCCGGAGCAGTGGGCAGCCATTTATGCTGCGGCGCCCGGGGAGCAGTTGGGGGTTCGGTGCCTTGCTCAAGGGCACCTTGTTGTGGTATTGAAGGTGGGAGAGAGCGCTGTACATTCACTACCCCCCACCTACAATTCCTGCCGGTACGAGACTCGAACCCACAACCTTTGGGTTATGAGTCCGACTCGCTAACCATTAGGCCACGACTTCCCGATTAAAAGATTAAAAATCTGTTTTAATGTGATCTCTTTTATTTTATTTTATTTTAGTATCGTTTCTAATCATATTACATGTTTATTATAATTTTTTTTGTATTGTTTCTAAGAATCATATTCCATGTGTTTATTTTATTTGTATTATTTTTATATTGTTTGTAAGAATCAGATTCCATTTTTATTTTACTTTGAGTTTTGAGAGAGAAAAAAACTACTTTTTCAAACTTCACCTGGACCATTTGTTCAATTTTTACCAAATTTATAATTTTTGATTTTTTTTGATAACTCAAGCCATCCTCGTATAATTCGAAATCAGCATAAAATTTAATATTTGGAATCCACATTAATTTTGGATATGGGTTTCCACAGTCAAAGAAAAACATATTTTATTTATTTTCTCCAGTTGTAGTTTCATAAAAAGTCATGGAAATTTTTTTAATAGAGACGTCATGGAAATTGATATAGTAAATATAAATTGTTCTAGTTAAGGTTGGCTCCAAAATGGCCTGAAATACAAACTGAAGATGCTTTATATTAGTGCTGTCAAACGATTAATCGCATCCAAAATAAAAGTTTTTGTTTACATAATATATGTGTGTGTACGGTGTATATTTATTATGTATATACAAGTACACACACATGCATGTATATATTTAAGAAAAATATGTTATGTTTATATATTAAATATATTTATATATTCATATAAATTATATGATATAAATATATACATATAAATACGTGTAAATATTTTGAAAAAAATATGCTGTATGTGTGTGTATTTATATATACATAATATATGTGTGTGTGCTGTGTATATTTACTATGTAAACACAAACTTTTATTTTGGATGCGATTAATCGCAATTAATCGTTTGACTTTATATATAAATGTATGTAAATATTTATATATAAAAATAAACAATCATGAACATTCATTAAGTCTAAAAAAAGTGTGGGAACCCTAAATGTTGGACTGATTTAATTTCAAACTGATATTTACATATTTACTGATATTTATATTGTTATATACCAACCAAGAGTTTTTAAGAGTACAGTCTACAGAGTCAGATACAGCAAAAACAGC